GTTTTACAATGTTGGTCAGGCTGGTCTCAAACTCCTGACCTCTGATGATCCAAGGACTGCCTCGGCCTCCCAAAGTGATGGGATTACAGGTGTGGGCCACTGCACCCAGCCCAGATATGCTCTTAATAAATGCATTTTTTAAATTTGCCTTATTCCTGCATCTATTCTATTTTCCTTCTCTTACCTTTTTCTAACTTATCTTCTTTTTGTTCTATTTTATATAAAGTCTTTGTAATCCTTAAGTACTCTTTAAAAGAAAATGGGAAATAAATAAAATGTATGGCCATAACTGTAACTGAATTACAAAAGAAAAGTACACAGAAGAATACTTTTCAACAAAATAATTACAGTTAAAATGTGGTCTTTTAGAAGGGTAATTCTTCAGTGGCATAAAAGAGGCTTTGTTATGATTTAAAGGTAAACTTTATCACGTAAGCATGCCTACTTCTAGTTAGCAGAGTTTTTGTACAAATACCTTTTCAAAACAATTACCTGGGAAACCATTTGGCATGTTCTACCCATGGATCATCTCCAGATTCCCAACACCTCAAGCCACCATCACAACAAAAGCATTTGACATCATCGTTGCGACCTCCAGGGAAAAACAAACAAACAAACAAATACTGAAAACCCATGTTCTAATACGTAAACTGAAATAAACTGATAAAATGTAGAGTTACTTGCTTCTTACCCACATAATAAAAACCAGCACTTGCAAGCTGCTCAGGCTGAACTGGAACACTAGATGGCCAGTACATGAATGTTCTCATTCGAGCTGCATGTGTCTGCATGCTCAGATTTGAAATGCTAAACCTCAGCGTTTCTAGAGAATTTTCCAAAAATGGACAGTTGGGAAAATGTCTCCGGTGTTCCGACATAGCATCATCCTTTGGTTCCCAGTTACTGAGCTTCCCACCACAGGCAAAGCAGGCTACCCTATCTCCAGGTCCTATATAATAAAAACCAGCTCTTGCCAATTCTGATGGTGACAAAAATGTTAATGGCCACATATGGAAGGTAAGAAATCTGGCTTCTTCAGTACTCATTGCATAACTGTAAGGGTTAGTCCTCAACGGAGACAAGTCTTCGACTGCTCTAGAATTAAGAGGGTTTGGTGAAGGGCTGGAGTAAGAACCACTGAACAAGCTACTGTGTTCCAACGTGGGAGATAATGAATGTGCAAAATTGCTTCTCATTGGAGACGTATTCTTAGTGGTGGATCTCAGACTAGCTGAAACCAGATTCTGAATAAAGCTACAGCTAGGATATAGCTGTTTATGCTTTTCAATAGGATTATCTCCCAGTTTCCAGTTATCCAGCATGAGGCCACAACAGAAGCATTTGACCTTGTCATTCACACCAGTATAATAAAAACCAGCACGAGCAAGACTCCTTTCTGAGACAGGAACCCCGGCAGGGAAAGTTGAATATGTAGACATTCTGTAGAGTTCACAGGAAAAGTCATACTTCATTTTTTGTTTGCTGCTGTTTGTCCAATCTGACAAAAGCGTGCTATCTTCCATTATACTCTTAATTTTTTGGTACCAGGGACCTGGGAAAAGTCTTTGGGAGGCAGTTTTGTGCATGAGTAGGTGATAGTACTGTTTGATAGCTAAAACATTCACTTGAAATTTCTTCACACTAAATAAGACCTTTTATCACAAAAAGAAATCAATGATAGACTCTTATGTAGAATTCACTATACTTTCTTGACTGGATTTATCTCAGTTTATATTCAGGTAGGATGAGTATCTCTCTGAATTACCAAGATACTACTTAGAACACGACTCTTTGGGGTTATAGTCACTCTTTTAGGCAACCTAAGTGCTATTTGTTCATAATCTGTATAATACTAACGAAAAGCTCAGAAAAAGTCAATGCACTTCTGAAAATGTTAAAACTCCTTGATTTTTCAAAGAGATTTATATTCTCAAAATTTTAAGCAACTATAGAATACCTAAATTATGCCTTTTATTTATGTTTGGTTACAAGCTATTAAGCCTGGATAACAGGACAATTACTGAATTATGCCACAAGGTAAGAAATTATATGCAGGCATCTTTCCCTATATGCATTTTAATATGACAACCCCCCAAAAATCTCATTTTATTCCAATAAACAAAAGTAATTAAAATCTTCATATGGTCACACTACTTAAAGGCTAAATTCACACCCCTTATCATCAGAGTATTTACATAAGTGGGCTATATTACTTCAGCTGACAACTTTTGGGGAAGCCAACACCCACAAGCTTTGCTGAACCTGTGCCAGTTACAGTGTTTGATGTCAAATGAACTTTGCTTAAAGTTCACAGACTGTAAACTCTTCTATCTTAGTTAAATATCATTTGTATTTGTTTCCATTTCCTGCAGCATCATGTGGACTTTCTGCCTAACTTTGTATACAGTTTTATTATTCTTGATTAACTAAAGGTATTTTCTCCATAAACTTAGTTAACTGTAAAATTTCCAGAGCACACTTTTTACACTGCATTTAAAAGCTAAATAACCTGTACATCATTTAAGGACGATTCAGCTATAATTATCAGTCATGTTGTAATTAAACATTACTCAATTTGTCACAAGATGTAACCTGCCCTTTCTAGTGTTATCAGAAATGCCTAACAAAATATTCTATTACCGAAAAAGTACTGCTTAGCATAATGTATCAATAATCAACTCTACTAGCCTTCTTTCTGAAATCAATGTTTTAAAAATACAATTCATACACAAAATTACACTCCATAGAATTCAAACTATATCCCTTTATAAAGTTTCGAGGTCTTCATAATGGGATTTATTACTGCAGGGGGAAAAATAGGGAGAGGGAGATTCTTCAGGGCTGTAAATCTGAAAAGAAAAAACAAAAGGTATTTCAGAAAACTGTATTTGCATGGCAAATAGAACTTATATACTCTTCAATTTATTCAGTGAAGTGAAAGAATAATTTACACTTTAGATAATACATCTTGGCGGGGCGCAGTGGCTCACGCCTGTAATCCCAGCACTTTGGGAGGCCGAGGTGGGCGGATCACAAGGTGAAGAGATCGGGCCATCCTGGTCAACATGGTGAAACCCTGTCTCTAGTAAAAAATACAAAAATTAGCTGGACATGGCGGCGCGCACCTGTAGTCCCAGCTACTTGAGAGGCTGAGGCAGGAGAATTGCTTGAACCCAGGAGGCGGAGATTGCAGTGGGCCGAGATTGCGCTACTGCACTCCAGACTGGCGCCTGGCAACAGAGCAAGACTCTGTCTTAAAAAAATAATAATAATAAAAGAAAAGATTATACATCTTAATTCCAGCAATTTGTCACTACAACTTTCTAACTGAAAAAGTACTTAATTAAAATAAATAAATGCAATATACTTCCCAGAGCACTAACTATACTGTCTTGAAAATGTACAATTTTGAAGGCAAATGGACATTTTCACAGGAAAAAACATTTTGTCCTTGCGCTCCTCTCCTTTTCTGACCTAAAGGTATCTCTGGCACTCTCCTGGAGGCAAAGGAACGTTGGTTAAAAAGACAGGCAGACACTCCACTAAACCCGGTGAGCAGCAGTACAGCAGTAATTAGACAGCAACGTTAGTGTGTAAATATCAAGTCTCTGCACGACTAGGAAAACTGCAGTAAAACAGGAGCTCATTAATATAAACCCTTAAACGCCACCATTCCCTTACAATTCCAAGGCAACAACCGCAGAAAGCAACTCGAAAACAAAACCTAACACGATGGGCTGTGAAACAGTGGTCCTGGCACGGTGACCACTGCCGTGACGGCTTTAATTACACCCCGTCTCATAGCCTGTCTTTAAATGAAAGATTTGTATCTACGAGCACCACACTGCTGCATTCTCTTTATGCAAACTGCAGCGGGGCAAGGGGACAGGGCGGAAAGGAAAGGAATAGAAGCTATGGGATTTACCCAATACTTTCCCAGAGCTGTTCCTCACAACACACCGCAGGCGACTACCGGAGTGACAGCGCAGTGGGAACTATGAAATCTGAGATCTCGGCGCCACCGAAATGTCTTCGTTTCCATGTCTTCCATTAAAAGAAAGCCGAAAGCTAAGTTTAAAACCTTGCAAAAAAAAAAACTGCGAGAAAACATCTTGGTCAAGGTCCCAGGGCCAGAAGAGTGGGCGGCGGCCAGAGGAGGCTTGAAAACAAGTCCTATTTAAAAAATCGCTTTGACTGCAAGTCTTGAAGTTGGGGCTTCCGAATCAAATAAAACCTCGGTGAGAGTGGAAAGCACAGAACCCCCGGCGACCCTCAACCTTCGGCCGACGGGCCCCAGGCCGCGTCCTTCCTCCCGCAGCCACCACATTAGGGAAGTGGGCCCCCGCGGGCCCGCGCGTCCCCACCCGTCCCCACCCGTCCCGCGCCGCCCGAGCCCGGAAGGAGCAGCACTCACCGCAGTGCGGGCGCAGCAAACACGGAAGCTGCGCGGCTACCGAGAGGCCTCCTCAGAGCCGGGAAGCGGCGGCGCCTACTAGGAGATACGGCCAGCTCATCTCGTATCAGCCCCCGCGCTCCCGAAGCCCGCCGCCCCAGCCGGGCCCACGCCGACGCACGGTGACGTCAGCACGCCGGGCCGGGGACCCGCGTTAGCCTCCGCGGGAGGGCGCCCGGGAGGCCGGGGCGGGAAAGCGAAACCCAGCGCGGGTTAGGCGGTGAGGAGACAAACCTCCGGGAAAGACGCCGGGTGGCCCAGGGAGGCCCGGCGCCAGGGAGCGCCCACGGGAGTCGCCGGCTGGGTTGTCAGGGGAATGGGGGCTATCCGAATCAACTCGGTGTTTGTTCGTTTTATTTACCTTGCGGTGTGTGCCCCTCACATTTCCTTTCTCTCTGTGGCCACCATTCTCCTGGGGGACGTGGCAGAACGTGAGCCGCTGCGTTTGAATCTGCGGAAACACCCTGGCGCCGGTGGTTTTGCGCGTCCTACCATGTGTCATCTCAGGGCTGTGGCCTGGCCCTGGCAAGGCCCCCCCCGCAGTGTGATGCCTTCCCTCGTCGTCGAGATGACTGGATTTTGACGATGGAGTCGGTCTGGTGGCATATTTTGCTTAAGTAAACAATCGTAACTGTGTAGCATCGATGTCCAACGGTTGGCTGTGCAAATCGAAAACAGCGAAGCGTTGGAAAGTAGGAAGCATCCGATGAATAATTGTGAAGACTTAACAATTGTTTTATGATCAACTAGAGTATCTTGTTTTTAAACTTTTGGTTTTCGGTTCTGGAGACCAGCAGTGCATACTGAAATCACGCTCTGAGGAAAAGTGTCGGTATTTCAGATGCTCCTTGCTAGCGACGGGAACTGTATTGCAAGCCAGGCTTCACGCCCCGGTGTTTTCTGAGTTTCAGTAAAATGAAAGACATACTCCTGCCTGTATGTTGGTGTACACGCACATATAATTGTACATAAACCATAGAGGAGCCCAATTTTTTTTAATGCTTAGGTAATAGAAAATTTGTAGATAAAAACCCTTGGCTTTTACTAGTCATGGACCGTTTGTGTCCACCTCCATGCTCCCTCAGTGGTGCCATAGACACAATGGCATGCAGTAAATGTTTTTGGTATGACAGCCAAAGACTTTTGAAGTTGACGCTCTTTGCCCATTGAATCTGATGCTTGCTTCTCTCTGGGGAACTCCAAGGGACAAACATTTTAAAAACTTCCAAATAGCAAGCCACTTAATTAGGCAGCCGGGGGAATTCCGAGACCCTGAACCATTTCCCATTTCCTGTCCGTGTCATTTCTGCCTGCCAATCAGTCACAGAACAGGAGGTCTTCTGTTCCAATGTTAACAGTCAGAGTAAGTGAGTGTAACAGTTCGTAATACAGAAAAAAGAAATGCCATGGCTCCCAATGACTAAACACATCCAAAAATACAGCTGGGGCTTGGTAGTAGTTTAGTATTTAGTTGAAGTCACTATTTCTCGGAAAGTTACAGAACATTCCTAACATGTGGGAAAATACATATAACAAGAATTGTTCATTCTGAACTCAAGATTATTTCTCTTTTTCAGTTCTTGTCCTGACCAAAACAGTAAGATAATGAATATACTTAAGTATAGGGGAAAGCTTGCATTTCAAAAAAGCAAAAGCCTTAGATAATTTTTCCAAAAAAGTAATATCATTTAGGTATAATAAATAGTACTTCATAACTTTTAATCTTGTATAACTTTGTAGCCTAGTGTTATTTAATTCAGTTACTCATTTATTCGGTTAATTTGTTTTTCATTTTGCTAGTATAGAGTTGCTGTTAATTTTTTTAAATAAGCTATAGATGTCTGCTAAAGTTGCCGTGCTAACGTTTTTTGTATTTATGTATAAAAAAATATTTACAGTATTTAAAACAATTTTGAAGAAGAAAAGTAAGATTGGAAGGTCTTGTCCTAACAGGTAATGAATTATAATAAAACCATGGTAATTGAAACAGTCTTGCACCGACGAAGTCTCACTCTGTCACCCAGGCTGGAATGCAATGGCTCTATCTTGGCTCCCTATCCCCTCCACCTACTGGGTTTGAGCAGTTCTCCTGGCTCAGCCTTTCAGGTAGCTGGGACTACAGGCAAATGCCACCACGCCCAGCTAATTTTTGTATTTTTTGTAGAGATGAGATTTCACTACACTGGCCAGGCTGGTCTCAAACCGCTGACCTCAGGTGATCACCCACCTCGGCCTTCCAAAGTGCTCAGATTACAGGTGTGAGCCACCGCGCCAGGTCAGCTACACTAATCTTGGCCCCTCAATGACTACATGAATTTTCAGATCAGCCTGTCAAGTTCCAAAAACAGCTCTATTGGGATTTGTCTGGGAATTGCTTGAATTTATAGATTAATTCAGTGAGAAATAATAGGTTTATAGCATCGAGTCCTACCATTCATAGTATATATGGCTTATATTTCTGCTCTTCCTTTAAGTCAATGAGTAATTTTTATATTTGTCTTAGTCTTTTTCTAGTGCAAAACACCCGAGACTGGGTAATTTACAAACAACAGAAGTTATTCTCTCAGTTCTGAAGGGAGGGAAGAAGAAGATCAAGGCTCCAGAAGGTACAGTGTCTGGTGAGGGCCTGGTGTCTGCTTCCAAGATGGTATCTTGAATGCTGATTCCTCTGGGGCAGACAAATGCTATGTTATCATGAGGCAGAAAGAACAGATGTACCATCACCTCAAGCCCTTTATAAGGCACTAATCTCATGCATGAGGGCTCACCCTAATGACTTACTTCTTAAAGGCCCCCACTTAATACTATCATTCTGGCAATTAAGTTTTAAACAGGAATTTTTGGAGACACATTCTGGCTATAGCAATACTCTTCGTGAAAGGTCTGTGTACATTTTGCTAGATATATTCTCAGGGTTTTGTTGCTATTGTGAATAGGATGTCTTTTTCTATTACGGTTTCTAAGTGGTTATTTCGGATGTACAGGAATGCTAATAGTTTTTTTCTAAGTTGATCTTGAATTAGAAAACCTTGCAAATTCTGCTACTAGTCCCAATAATTTATCAGTATATTCTTCTGGATTTTTTGCATAGACAATCATATGGTCTGCAAATACAGGTAGTTTTCTTCTTTTCAATTTAAAAATTTCATTTTCTTCATATGTTTCTTTCTTTCTTTCCTTTTTTTTTTTTTTTTTGAGACAGAGTCTCACTCTGTCACCCAGACTGGAGTGCAGTGGCACAATCTTGGCTCACTGCAACCTCCACCTCCTAGGTTCAAGAGATTCTCCTGCCTCAGCCTCCTGAGTAGGTGGGATTACAAAGAGCCCACTACCATGCCTGGCTAATTTTTGTATGTTTGTTTGTAGAGACAGGGTTTCACCATTTTGGCCAGGCTTGTCTCCAACTCTTGACCTCAGGTGATCTGCCCACTTAGGCCTCCCAAAGTGCTAGGAATACAGGTGTGAGCCACCGCACCTGGTTGATTTCCTTCCCTCCTTCTCTTCCTCCCTCCTGCTCTCCTTCAACTCTCTCTCTCTTTCTCTCTTTCTTTTTTTCAGAGTCTCTGTCACCCAGGCTGTAGTGCAGTAGCACGGTCTCCACACACTGCAATCTCCACCTCGTGGGTTCTAGCGATTGTCCTGCCTCCACCTCTCAAAGTGGTGGGAGTATGGGTGTGAACCACCGTGCCTGTTGATTTCTTTCTTTTTCTTTCTTTCATGCAGAGTCTCACTCTGTCACCCAGGCTGTCCAGTGGCATGTTCTCCACACATTGCAACCTCCACCTCCCGGGTTCAAGTGATTCTTCTGCCTCAGCCTACCAGGTAGCTGGAATAATAGGCATGTGCCATCACACCCAGCTAATTTTTTTGTATTTTTAGTAGAGAGTTTTCACCATGTTGGCCAGGCTAGGCTCCAATTTCTAACCTCAGGTGATCTGCCTGCCTCAGCCTCCCAAAGTGCTGGGATTACAGGAATGATCCATCTCACCTGGTTGATTTATTTCTATTATAGGTTGACTCACATACATTTTTGATGTTGGGCATCTCATAACCTAAAAAAAAAAAAAAGGCAACTTCCTATGTATCAGCTGAACGCACTGCCTAGGACCTCCAGTGCCATGTTCGGTAGAGACAGTAATAGAAGCTACCCTTGTCTACGTCCTAACTTTGATGAAAATTTCTTCTAAAATTTTACCATTAAGTGTGATAATTGTTATATACTAAGGAAAATAGGGCCAGGTGTGGTGGTGCACACTTGTAATCCCAGCACTTTGGAAGGCTTGTGGGGAGGATTGCTTCAGCCAGGAAGGGGGAGGTTGCAGTGAGCCAAAATCTTGACACTGCACTCCAGCCTGTGTGACGGAGAGACCTTGTCTCAGAAAAAAAAACCCCAAAAACAAAAAACAAAACAAAACAAAACAAAAAAAAGGATGCTAGCTTGCTAATAGTGCATTATGTGTTGACTCTGTCCTTGCATTATTGAAATATAACCTAATTCGCCATGATGCATTATGTGTGTGTGTACATTACTGCATTTGACTTGGTATTATTTTATATAAAATTTGGAATTCATGTTTATAAAAGTTAACAATAGCTAACTTCTATTTGGTTTTCTATGTTTTGGATATTGTTAAGTTCCTTTCCTTGAATTATTTCATTTCATCCTAAAAGGCTTATTGTAAAGGTTATTTCCCCTTTATATATGAGGAAGTTAAGGTTCAGTGAAGGCAAGTCATTATCCCTAAGGTCACAGGGAAAGCAGGTAGTGGCAGCAGAAATACAAATCCTGATTGCCTGGCTCCAGAGGCCGTCACTAAGCACTGCCCTGTGTCCTCTCCCTGTGACAAAGACCCATCATTCAGACTGTTCCTGTTCTATTGTGAACTTTCCTTGTACATCCTTGTTCCAGTTTTGCACCAAGATTATATTATTCTAAGTAGTAAATTAGATAGGTCTTCTTTTTCTTTTATTATACAAATACTCCTCAAACTTTTATAAAAACCTGTTCCGTCCTATCACCTTTGCTAGCCTGACTTCTACAGTTTCGCAGTGGCCTCCAGGTTTTATGGCATTTGCGAGCTCCTGTCCTGGGGATACTGGGGAGGTCTACACCCCATAAAGCCAGGGATACAGACACAGATCAGCAGCAGACTCCCCCACCCTCCAGCATCGTTTCTTTTTTTTTGAGACATAGTCTCACTTTTGTCTCCCAGGCTGGAGTGCAGTGGCATGATCTCAGCTCACGGGAACCTCTGCTTCCCAGGTTCAAGTGATTATCCTGCCTCAGCCTCCCAAGTAGCTGGGATTGCAGGCACCTGCCACCACACCTGGCTAACTTTTTTGTATTTTTATTAGAGACAGGGTTTCACCTGTCCTCATCAGAATCACTGGATCATGACTGACCCCTAGAGGCGGCTTCTCTGCTTAACTGTCAGCCCATGGGCTGGAATGTGACCCCGCAAAGCTGCTGTAGAAGTTTCCACCCATCCTGGACCATGCTTGCCATCTGTGGGGGAAAGTCCTGTCCTTTGTCTTGTTATCCCAGCCAGCCTCACAGGCATTCAGCAGGTTGGAAAGCCTAAGCGTGTGCTGTGCTGGGCAGGGCTCTTCCGTGCCTTTTTTGGGGTTGAGCGGGAGTGAATTCCAGCCCCCAGCATGCTGCTGTTTATTCCCACCCTTCATCCCCACCCCCCTACACACTCACAGGTACAAACACAAGCACAGTCACGGGCACACACCGCCCTGGACAGCACCATTTCCAGCCTCCGAAGGGCGGTCTCCTTATGGGGAAGTTAATGAGACAATGAAGAAGGCTCGGGGTCAGGGAGGACCTCTGTCATAAAGAGGCTCCTAGACCCAGTTCTGCCTCTGACTTGCTGGGGGTCCATGAGAAAGCTGCTTCCCCTTTTTGGTCCCAGCTGAGAAGTGGGGGGTTGAGCCAAATGGCCTAAGGTTCTGGGAACCTCTAAGTCAGAGACCATAGCTGGTGGTCAAGATGAGGCAGAGTCCCTCGGGGTTAGCCGAATACCTGAGAGGCAGGACAGGCCCAAAGGTGAGCAGCCTGAGCACATAAGGTGGGCCTGGAGCTGGAGCATGAGCCCCACAGCCTGCAGAGCAGCCCTGGACTTGGGAGCCCACTTGCACCAGCCTGGTGGGACTTCAGAGTTGTGGGATCCAGCCTCCCCTAATGTTGCAGGGCTGGGGGCTGGGAGCTGCAGATTCTGATCCCACAGTTGCTTTAGACATACCAGATGAGCTGGGGCAAGACCCACCCCTCTCTATGAAATGGTTAGTCAGTCCAAATAGAAAAACCATGAAGGGCTGTGGAACAAACCCAGTTGTCCCCTGGGGATAGACTGGCTTCCAGGGTAATCAAGCAGCTGGCCTCTGGGGGAGGGGAACCAGGTATGAGCGGCAGGGTTCAAAATCTAGGCCCAGCCTCCACAGGAACCCCCTCTGGAGAGCCCAGGGCAGTCCTGGAGGTACAGCAGGCAGCAGGTGCACTAGGAGCATGTTTCACAAGGCACCCAATATTGCATCTGCTCAGAGAGGCAGCCAGCTGAAAAGTGGATGCAGTAGGCAGGGTGGTGGCTACTCCCCACGGCCAGGAGTCCAGCCCAGCACCCACTCCAGTCCACCTCAGTCCTGCTCAATTGAGTCATGCCCGCTCTGGGCCCTCTGGTCCCACCCACAGAGGAAGGGCTTTGGGGTGACCAGGTGAGCTGGCCCTTGTGGGAGGATGTAATTGACTCCTGAGCCTGGACAGCCAGGCAGCCCCTTGCCTGCATTCCCACCCCCACCTCTCCAGCCCCCTCATTCCCCAGTTCTCCCACCTGCTCCCCTGCCCTGGCACTTGCCTCTGCTCACTCTCATCTCTTTTCCTGCTCCCAGGCTCGCCTGCTCACATGTCCTTGACTCTCCTCTGAGTCTCCCTCTTTCCAAGCCATGCCTCTCTACTTGACACATCCTTCTTGATGGCACCAGAGTACACAAGCTTAAGTCCCTGCACCTCACCTTTACTCCCAGGCAGGGAAGGGAGATGACATGAAGAGCCAAATGCCAATTGGCAAAAGATCTGGAGTATGCAGAGGGGCAGATCTGAGGCTGTGGAAGCTCTGGGGGTTCCCTGCAGGAGGCTGCATTTAAGCTGGCTCTTGAATGTGGCTCTGAGCTGAGACCTCTTCCTGAAGCTTCAGATCAGGAGCCAGCTGCCAGCTGGACCCCTCCATTTGGTGTCTCAAAGGAAGCTTGCACTCTGGAGGTCTAACTCTGAACTTAGAAAATTCCCTAATCTCAGCCCTGTTTCTCCTTAGGGAAATCACCATTTCATGCCCAGTTCTGCACCAAACCCACATTTGAGTTAGGGGGCTCCTGCCCTGCTCTGCCCTGCACTGTGAGTATTCTGGATGAGCCAGTGCCGAGGGGGAAAGAGCTCTCAATGCCAAGCCAAACCATGTGAGGCTTAACTCCAACTTTAGCTCTGAGAGCTGTGGGTAGGGAAGAGCCCTAGTCCAGTTTGCTGTAGAGAGACCAGCCTGCCACTGTCTGGTACATGGATGGCAGGGGCAGAGTATGGATGGAGAGACAAGTAGGGCAGGGCTGGGGAGGTACAGACATGGCAGCCTCTGCAGGCCCAGCTTTTGCATCCTAGTGAGTGACCTCTGCAGGCCCAGCTTGTTCCTCACAGTGGCCTTCCAGGCCCAGTTCTTGAAAGCCTTTTGGCGGCCCCTCCAGGCCCAGCTCATGCCTCTCGTGGCCTCTCCAGGCCGAGGTGCTACCTCGCAGCTTCCTCTCCGGGCCCATCTCTTCCTCCCGGCTAGGCTGCGTCTACAGGCCCACCTCCTGTCTTATCTGGCAACAACTTCTGTGGACTCAGTCATCTCCTACCCAGCTCCTGGAAGCCTCTGTAGGCCCAAAAGCTCCTCAAGTCTAACTCTCCAGGCCCACCCAGCTCATGCCTCATGGTGGCCTCTCCTGCCTTCCAACCGCATCTCCAGACCCAAAACTTCCTTAAGTCGGCTTCTCTCGGTCTGGCTCCGGTCTCCTCCCGGTGGCCCGGCAGGCCTAAATGGCCCTGAAATCGGCCTCTCCAGGCCCAGCTCCTGCCCTCCCAATGGTCTCTCCAGGCGCAAAACTTTCTAACGGGCCACTCCAGGGCCAGCTCCTGCCTCACGTCCGGCCTTTCCAGGCCCGGCCTCTGCCTCCCTCATGGCTTCCTCCCCAGGCCCAGCTCTTCTTCCTCACTGGGTCTAAGGCTCAACTCCTGACTCACAACAACCATGTTTGTCGCAGCCCCTGCCCAGCTCCCAGCAGCCTCTGTAGACTCTAGTTGTTTTCAAGTCAGGCTTTCAAGGCCTTCCTTTGGCCTACCAGCAGCCTGGACAGACCCAGCTCCTGCCTGACCACATCCTCTTCAGAGCAGCTATTCCCTGTATGGGCCTCTTCTGGCCTTGTTGCTCCCTGGTTTTCAGCCATTTTGGCAGGCCTTTGGTTTGCCACACATTGGTCTCTTCAGCCCCATCCTCAGTGTCACATCTGCCTCTCAAGATTCAGCTTTTTTTTTTTTTTTTTTTTTTTCCACAGCGGCCTTTCTTACACCAGCCTGTGCCTCACCATGGCCTCTGCAGGCTTCTCTTCTGCCTCCTAGTGGACACTCCAGGCCATCTCCTGCCTCATGGTGGTTTTTCTTCTCTGCACTGGCCTCACAGTGGCCTCTTCCGGATCCAGCTCTATAGGTCTTTGATTGCCAGCAGCATCAAAAGGCCCGAAGCTTCCCTGGACTCTCATTTGTTCACTTTTTAGCAGTGTGCCTTGGCTGAACACCTGTCTCTACTTTTAACCTGGAGAGTGTATTTTTGACAGATTTGTAGTAAATTCTGCCTGTGTCTTTTTACAGTGATGTCTCTGTTATTTACTGTCTAATGGTTTTTCTTGTCTTCTGGGGGTTCGGGGGAATGGGCCTCTGCTTGCACTGTTTGTCTTTGCCATGGACGTGGTAGCTTCTCATTTCATGTCTTCAATTTTATATTTTTTACAGTTAATTTTTTTTTCCTTAGGGTCTTGCTCTGTCACCCAGGCTGGAGCGTTGTCATGTGATCATGGCCTCACTGCAGCCTTGGCCTTTTGGCCTCCACTGATTTTCCCAAGTCAGCATCTTGAGTAGCGTAGACTACAGGCATCTGCCACCATCCCTGACTAATTTCTGATTTTGTTTGAGAGGTTGGTTCTCATTCTGTTGCCTTAGGCTGGTCTTAAACTTTTGGACAAAAGCAATCCTCTTGCCCGGGCCTCTCGATGTGCTGAGATTACAAGCCTGAGCCATCCATGGCCTGTCGTTTGCTTGCCATGAAGTATTAAGAATTTTGATTAATATACCATGATTATATACATTTGTGAATAGATACTTTAAAGTTTTCTGGGATACCAATTTTTTCTTTTCTTTTTCTTTTTTTTTTTTTTTGAGGCAAGATACTGCTTTGTCATTCAGGCTGAAGCACAGTGGTGTGATCTTGACTCACTGCAACCTCTGCCTTTTTGGCTTAAGTCATCCTCCCACCTC